AACCATGGTGTACAAGTTGTAACTAAACCAAAAATAAATTAGGCTTCAGGGTCAAACATATTCTAAGTAAAGCAATTAATTAAAAAGAAGTAGGTTTCAAAATGAACTATTCTTAAAACTAAGACTATTAAATATTACATGATAACTACCTAAGTAATTTACTGAAACCTACTTCTTTTCAAAGAAGTTGAGATCCTCACACAGAACTCATTAACAGCATACTTGCAAGCAGTTATCATCAGCAATATTGTTGCATTAGCATCACTTTTATTAAATTTTGTATCTCAGAGCAATGCTTACAGCCAAACAATTAAAAATCTGAATTTTGACAATAATTTTGAAGTTCCTCAAGAAGTTTTGGTGTATGTCCTTTGAATTCTAAAGATTTGAAAATTTTCAAAGATATCTCATAGAATGTTTTAATAACAATATCCTTAGGTTTGGAACATACACACCATTACTTCCCTCACATGGAGGAGTATGGTGGTAATAGATAAAACGACAAGACTGGCAGGACTTAGGATTGGAAATTTTGTTAAGAATTTTAGTTTTCCTTGTTGCCTCATCAGCTATTAGAGGATCGTCTATGGGATATGAAGGCATTGTGGCGATCCAGAGACATGTCTTCACCTCCTTTCGCCCTTCAAGAAAGGTGAATTGTCAACATCACAGACATGAATGTCTGTGGCTCCTACACTCCCAATCTTCTCACAAATTAGACAGAACATCTGCATTATCTTTCTTGCAGTTAAATTTACCATTGGCACCAATCATCCCATTCAAAATACATGATTTCACAGCCGAATCAAACTGCAGACTTGTAGGGTTGTTGTTGCAAATACCACGCAGCCTCACAACACCGAAGAGAGGATCAAGTGGATCTTGGTTGAGACATCGAGATGCCAATGATGTCACTCCCCAGTCCCTGAGCATTCTCCGCAATGTGGAAACAGCATCGATATTTCAACACTAAAGAGACAAGTGATGTCATTAATAAATTCAGCCAAATATTTGGACCCTTCAACGCCACATTTAAATAGTTCATTAGCAACAGTTGCACTCAAAACCTGAGCAGCTAACTTCACTTTAATTTTCCTTTTTGGATAATTATGTTCATTTGTGATATTCCCCATGTTCTTATTAAATTTTTTTTTTCCAATTCAAAAAGGTCCACTAAAAATTGCCAGCTAGTTTCTGTAACTTCTACACTATCTGTTTTAAAAATAATTTTGTTGTCCAAAAGAGCATTTCTTGATGCTTTGAGAAGATGAGGAGGATCAGCAATTACAACAATTTTACAATTACTAATTTTTAAAATTAGTCTATCGCAATTGCAGGTTTTTAAGGTTTTTTAAAGTTTTCAAGCAGTGAATGTTAGTTGGTGCCCAGTCACTCACGATTACCACAATATTAAAATCAATTCTTTGAATAGCACCTGTGACATCCATAATTATCTTTTTTAAATATGTGGTCGAAATTGTATCATGAGACAAATAGTACGGTACAGGTTGCTTCCAATTGTCAATGAGACCACGAACCATTAAAACCAAAGCATGGTCTGCGTACTGACACCTACGTTGGGAACCTATATCTTCACAGCAAAATATATACTTTCTGGATGGAGTAAATGTTAAATTCTTCTAAATTGACATTTCATCAAAAATAAGAGAACAATTTTTTTAATTTGGAGTCATACATTTTAATTGATCATCTAAATGTTGAAGCACAACATCATCGAGGCCAACATGAAAAGGAATTTTATTGGAAAGTTGAAGAAGAGTATCAGGAGAAGAAAGTAACAAGAACATCCTCAAGAGTTTATATGCCTGAAGAATATGGTTGTGAAGGACTAAGCAAATTACCTTCACTTCTGTAGACCATCTACAACCAAAAGGAGATTTTGATTTGTTGCTAAATTGAGCCTTCTGGAGGCAATAAAACAGGTGCGAAATATATTCCTCAATTTCATCTGCTGTTCCTGCTGAAGGCTGTTCCATTCCTTCGTTCTCCTGCGCAAAGACAGTACTTTGTCCTGAAGGAACTTCACACGCTCTTGCAGATGTTTGATTTGCGCTCCTGAAGGTCACGATACAGCAGCTGCTTACGAGGGATGAGATCCTTCAAACGAGTTGCACCAATAGATTTAAGAATCCCACCACTTTGTAAGCGAGACTGAGAGTTTGGGGTTGATGGTTCTGTCTGAGGATCATGAACTTGCCATTTACCAGATGGCATTGACTTCAGGCGAGAGAGAAGGGGCCCATTTTCCTAATGCGCTGGATGCCACTATCTCTTCCTCACTTTCGAAGACAGGCACAGACAGGTCAGAAAGAGCTGTTGCAAAGCAAGAGTAAAAATTAATTTTTATTTTTAAAAATATACAAATCATAAATTTCACTTCAAATAAGGTTACCTGATATTTGTGAGACTCGTAATGGATTCCATTGCTGTAGCCAATCTTGCAGAACCTCCTATAAATTATATCAACATTTTAATATTATCTCAAACCAAATGTATGCGGTTCAAAAGCACGAATATAATTGACAGTGATTTGTAGTACATAAAAAACTCTACCACTTTTTCATTTCGTAACCTGCGATTTTTTGTATTTTTAAAGACTAAATGAAAATGTACTCACGTAAACACGGAACAGCACCACATCGCAGTCTCCTTTTGGGGGCACGGATCCTTTCTCCATCTAGGATCCCTGCAAATTCCCTCCATTTTTGTATGGCAAAGGGCATTGTATTTTTGGAAGGGAATCTGTGAAAGAGAGATTCTTTCCATTCGTTTTTCAGTGGATTTGAAGCTCATGTGGCAAACACATCTGGAAACAAACAAAAGACATCTTACTCTACATTATTTAATAAATTGATGGATTTTCTTATGTATTAGGTAATGAATTATGATAATGAATTAACAATAATGTTAATTATATAATAACACCGAAGTCTTACCTCTTAACAGCTTAATATTCAAGAACAAAAAAGCCGCCGTGTTCTCCGAGGTCACAGACCGTCCCACACAAGGTAAATCTTTGTACACTGTGAACATGATAAATCATACTGTTTGTTGATGATAACATCATGTCATTAAGAGTATATATCTATGTGCAGGGGGGTTTCGAACTAGTGTTACATAGCATTGTTTGTTTTTTTTTAAACATTTTATCATTTGTTAAAATACTTCCTTTTTGAGTCTTATGCTAATACATTAAAATGTTATCAAATTAATTTGTTTTAAAATTTTAATAACTGAAAATATTCAAAACTGATCCGTAATATTTTCTAGAATACAATTAAATTGACAGAGTAGACTCTCGCCAAAGCGGCATCCCCAACGCCAGCAGGTGCGCAGCTTGTCACCAGAAATTTACTTACTCTGCACCCTTTCTTCACTCACACGTTGCCCCCAATCTTATTGTTAGGTGCAGCCAGCATCAACTACTAACTCTGACTTTAATTTTCGTAATGTATACAACTTTTTTTCTGTGTTATAACTTATTTTCACTTCTTGCATTTACAATGGCAGGGGGGGGGGTGTCACAAGCATAATGTAATTGTTTGGACAATTTTGGGCCTAGGGCAATAAAACATAGGCCCAGCTCCAAAAAAATTACAAATGTGAAAGTCATCTCAAAAATCTGTATTTGTTTTATTTCAACAAATAAACGTTTAAGCTAGAAAAAATTTCGGGAAATAAATGTTAAATAATAGTTTTAAGTAAAACTATTTAGTGATCAAATAATACAATTTCCACAGGGAGTTTAAAACACCCCCCAAAAAAATTTGTTTAGTTAGTGTTTCTTAAATCACTTGCTCTAGATGAAATAATAAATATGAATTTTAGGAGAACCTGTTTTAATGTTAGCATCATTTGATTCATTTTATAGAGGTCTGTAGCTTGTAAGTATTGACTATAATTCACTATTTAAGGTAAAAAATTAAATAAAGATGTTTTGAAATAATAGACTACTGTAGTGGGACTTGTAAAATTACAAAAATGATTTTCTGGAGTTCTAATTTCTTTTTCAATTTCTTACTAATTTTTCCCCATCTGTCCCTCTATCCAGCCCCTTGACTTGGAGGGCTCTGGGAGATTACCCGGTCTGTTCATGCCTAGCACCTGCACTGCATGTCAGAACTTGAAGTGAGGATAAATGAAAATCCACGTCATTCATCTGAACAAGAGATTAGTATGAATTTCATAACACAATCAGTGATAGGGTGTAGAAAGTAGTTCCACAATTTAAATATTTGACAATAATATTTCACTACAAATATTGATTTAATTTGTATATTGATGTCATTCTGAATAAGTCACACCAGATGTTAGGTTTTGAGAGATCTGCACTAGTAGACACCAAAAGAGAGAAATGCAATTTTTTCTTCTTGAGTTGACCATTTTAGGCTTGAGTGTGTTGTCTGAGAGATAGAACTGCACTATCTGAAAAATGGTATTGTCTTCCAAGATATACACACACAGGGTTACATAAGCTACTGAAGTGGGGAAAAAACATTCTTCTGGAAGACTGTTTTTCATCTTTTTTTCTATCATCTACCATAAAGAATCAGAGAAAGTGTTAAGTAATTAATATTTTTTATAATCGTAAAATCTCCAGTCTTAAAATAGGCCCTCTTTTACTTGGGCCCACCAGCATTGTGGGCCTGTATATTACACTACTGCTAACATTGTTTAGTACTCACAGTAACAAAGTAAGAATTTGGAGTATGTTGCAGATTATATGCACTATCCCCCCCACACACACACACACCGACAAAGAGCAGCAGTTTTCCTCCCCAGCATGAACAAAATTATCACAAATGAATACATTTGCTGAAATTGTTTAACTGTACACAGTGAATCTATAAAAGCCATCACCTAGCCCACTAACATTGCAAGGAACACTGTGTAAGAGGGAAAGAGACAAGGCACAGAGATATACAACATATGAAATAAGAAAATAAAGTAAATGAGAACGTATGCAGAATTTATTTAACCTCTTTTTAGGGCACAGCACCAATTAAATGGCCAAATACTTGTGAAGTAAAGTACATTGGTCGAAAATTTCATTTTGCCACAATTCATGAAAAGAACATAACACCGTAACTATCTTTGGCAAATCCAATGCCATTTTAGCATCAGGGTACACATCATTACATCTAGATATTCATACTTGAAATATTGAACAAAATTCTGTGTCCTGCTGAGCAACATATCTGTATTTTGCATTTCACGGAATGAGATAAGAAATGATCACAAAGCAAATCGCTACTCAACATCTACAATTGAAAAAAATAAATATATTACAAAATTAAAAACAAAACACAAAATTGATGGCTTTTGCGATGTGTAGTAAATGATTTGATACTTTTTGATCGATCTTCTCTTACAAGAATTTAAATATGGTTTTACTGCTAATGAACATGGGTGTACACACAATATTTTTAGATTTTTTAAATATTTCACAATACTTATATTCTAGACAGATCAAGTATACAAATTCCATCAATTAATTTATGCATTTACACAGCATTCCCATGATATGGGTTTTCTCATTCACATACCATGAAATACAAAATAAAAGTAACCATTTCCTTTATATTGGTCCACTGTTTTTGAATTATCATACTTCAAAGCAATTTTAAAACATTACATATGATGTATACAGTGTCTTGAATAATATCATCGTTATTTTTAAGAATTTTGACTTCAATAATAATCCTACCTAATTTACATGAATGGAATAATTGTATTCATTTGCTTTTCTACCGAGTACAGCAAAAATAAAAGTGAGCACATCCAAGTGAAAAAATATTAACAAACAAAAATATTGATTTTTCTTTTCTGCAGTTACAGATTTATTAAATTGTATGAGCTATAGCCCACTGAAAACAAATTTAATGTCAATTAAAACTAAACAACTATACCAAATACTGATATCACAAGGTTTCAAATTTATTATATGAAGAAGAGGAAATTGCTGAACATAATATAGGGCTACCTTGAATATACTTTAGTATTACATGATTAACTATTAGTGTCACGATAACAAAATGATATCTATATTTCTAAGCTTTCACAAAAGATAATGGGTTGAAATAAATAACTTTAATAATTCCTATTTATTAAGTTTTTCAATAAGACTTTCTTGCACTTCTGCTCCTGTTTATCAGTCTGCAAAACACTCAATAACAATAGTTTTGCACAAAAGTTTTGCATATTCTGGAGACATATTTTAAGAGATATCAGTTATTACATAAATCACTACAAAAATTACTAGTTTGCTTAATTCCTGAATGTAAAGGATACAAAATTATTTTAGGATGTCTCTTTTGTAAACATTAAACATTTCATCATGAATTGATCTCTAAAAACATGGCTGAAAATTTGTATCAGGTATGTGTCAAATGTCATAATGCCAAATTTTTATACTCAGTGAGAAAAAAAAATCAGCTTTTATAGTCCTTGAATTTCATATTTAAAATCCACGAGTGCAAGGTAATTGATTTTACATTACAATAAATTTCAAATATCTTATATTTCCTTTTGTAAATTTAAGAACGAGGTACATTACATCAAATCATATAAATACTCTTGTAACCTTAAGAAGCATAAATTTTATGCAAAACTTTTTTGGCGAGTGCACACTCATATATTGAAAAAATACTTGTAAAGAAGCATAATGGTATTTACCATTCTTTTTAGTCTTATTACAATTGTACACACAAAAACTAGAAACATAGAAAACAGTTCAAGGACTTATAACACTACTGCACAACTGCCACAGACACTGATGGCAAGTGCCACTTGATGCAAGGAAAGTCCTCATCACATGATAAAATAGCAAAATGAAGAATAAATCTACAAATAAATAAAATAAATATCAGAAAAATTGCCTATCATTGATTGGAAAGAAATTACATAATGTTCATTAATAATATGACCTACACAAAAATTCAAGTATACCAAAGGAAATTTACTAATACGACCAACCATCTCAAAGTTTTAAAAACAAAAACAGTGAAAGAGATGCTCTTTCTAACATTTCTCAGTAATAAAAAAAATGAAGATGTTTGTATTTGTCATGTTCTTTCTTCATACAATAAAGCAATCACGACTTTAAATTTATGAATTCCTGACTTTTGCAGATTTGCAGGTTCAATAACCATCAGTTTACTGCTTCAGTTCCAATGAATTTGAATACAGTTTAAGTATTTTATTTATTTTTTATTTTTATTTTATAAGAAATTTTCTGTAAAGGTTTAGCCAGAGACTAGGGAACTTCCTTTCAAATGCTGTTAACCAAATGCACAAAAATTCTCAAGTTCCACTAAGCAATCAGTCCATACTCTCACACACTCTTATCCATCTTTCTGAGTGTTCAATTGGTTTGTTACTTTTATTATCAGAATAAAACATGTTAGCTAAGAGATAAAAATTTGTCTCATAATGAAAAGGGATTGAGAATTTAAAATTGTGCAATTCAGAAATAGTAAACACATTCTTTCCAAACCTCACACAGGTGTCCTCATCCATCCTCGGTAATGATTGCAAACATTTTCACAGAATGGCATTTTCTTCAGGTAATTGGTTTTACAATCACAAAGTATACTGACATCATCAGTTTTTAGGAACATGAATTATCAAACTTCAACAATATGTGACAGAGACTGTATAATGCTATAGAACAGAGACCATAAAAGAAGGAATTTGCACAAGAAGGGGCAACTCTCCATTCTTTGGAATCATAGCCAGATATCTACAATTCTGAATGTGTTAAAGGAAATGAAACTAAGCAGTTCTAACATTAAACACATATAATATAAACATTATGGTTAGACTTTATAATTTATACATATTTACATCATACCTTTCTTAACTAATCAGGCATTGTGACACCTATGGTATACAGCATATTAAGTCTTCCATGATTTCTATCATAGCCATTACTATTATCCCATAGAAGTTATATAAGCACCTTTCTTGCACAATAACCACAGCAAGGAATTAAGAATAGATAACAAACATTTTTTTTGAGTTGCTATTTTTGTAATGGCTTTTTAAGAGATTGATACACCCACAGTCAAAAATTACAGTCAGAGGCAATGTGTCAAGAGGTCCACCAATATGAATGGACCAAATGGATACAATACACCAATATCAGTAAAGAGGAAATGGGATATGGACAACTTCAGAATTTCTCTGAGATGCTACATGCCTACTGCTTCATTCCTCTTAATCCATGCATACACAAACATTATTCAAATTATGTTATCAAATGTAGTTATCAATCCAATCTTACATTATGTGGTAGTTCGTCTATGATATTTAGAGTTATCTCTAATCATAGATAAGCGCTTTAAGACTTTTATACATTCATACACTCCCACGCATTAACACACTCAACATACTACTGTGACTATTATTGTCTAATTATAATCGATTTGACTGAATTTTTTACTTAACAAATTAATGCAACATAAGTGTTGCTCTTATCTAAAAGAGACATAATTAAGAATAAGGGACAATGTCGCCAATCACCATCTGATATTCCCTCAACAAAACATGGCTTCCCTCATTTTTCTTGTACTAAAATGATCCCTGAATAAGGGATAATATTTGTGGGGTCTTTCTTTATACCGAAAGAAACAAAAGATGAATATTTCCACTTTGTGGCAAACTATCACCACAAGAAAATGCCTCCCTCAGGAGGTCATGAGCTGAGCTTATCTCTGCAGTTCAATGCCGAAACCAGAGCCAAAACCAACATTTGTTTGTTGCTGACCAGGTGACTGACAAAGCACGTGCTGCTGCTGCTGCTGCTGTTGCTGCTGCTGTTGTTGTTGTTGCTGCTGTTGCATTGGCTGAGCCTGAAGTGGCTGTTGCAAGCATTGACTGTTCTGGTTGGGTGATGTGGAGAATATCCCTGTAAAACAAACAAAAAATACCATAGCGAGTTCTGTTAAATGCATCAAGTCCATCTGCATCATAGTTTCGCCATACCTGACGGCGAAGAGCTCAGCTTGTCTCCTCCTGTGGACATCCTCGAGAATGCCAGCAGAGCATCAGGGAAATTTGGTGGTGTTGCAGGAGTGTTACAAGGTGTGCACACCTGCAACAAAGAACACACGGAAGTGAGCAGAATAATCACAGATAGTGTGTAAATGGGAGAACATCTCCATATTTATGACAAGGCACTGTGTCTGTGCATTAAAATTCATTTAATAGGAGATTAATCAATGAATACAGGAAACAAAAATTGAGCATTGTATCATAAATTTAAGATTAGTAGGTTACATGAAAATTCGTGGCTCGGTTTGGTCTCCATTAATGGAATAATTTCAGAATATTGTCATTGTTCTGACGTGAATGTTTTTTGTTTATTTTTTAAATTCTCTTTCGTTATTTCTTCCTTCCTTTACACAAGAACTTAAACCATATTAGTGAAATGCCATCTACATTTTATTGCACATAAAAACAAATTTTAAAAAATATCTGACATTACCATTTGTCTTTCTTATGTAAGATTTTTGAAAAAGGGAAAGGATTCACAGAAGTTCAAGAGCACTTCCATACAAGTCAATATTTAACCACTCAGGACAGTATATAAGAGTACCCGAAGTAGTCGAGTACTAATTAATGCGATTTTAAGTGAAAACAACTCCGTTAGAACACAAGATCATGAAGGAGTAGGAAGACGAAAGTTGTGGCTGTTAGCGTAGAAAGAGGAGTGCAAGCAGACAGGCAGTCAGTAATATTCGTAGTTATTGTGACACGGTCGCAGTTCAGAGGCGATGTCAGTGAGCGGTGACAACAAAAACAACAGGGTATTATTTTTTCTGCGAGTGTGCGCGCGCGCGCGTGGGTGTGAGGGGCAAGAATCATCCGAGGAATTGACGAGAGAAACTAATGGCAATTTCGCTTGCGCTTGTGGAAGAAAGAAACACACACACACACAAACGCACGAACACACAAACGCGCACACACACACACACACAAAAACACACAAACGCGCGCACACACAAACACACACACAATACACACACACACACAAACGCACACACACAAAACACACAAACGCACACACACAAAACACACAAACGCACACACACAAAACACACACGCACACACACAAAACACACACACACACAAAACACAAACAAACATACACACTGAAGGATGTTCTTAGGAAAGTGTTGTGAACATTAATTTTAACTTGGAATTTATAAATGAGTGAGTTACCTTGTTATGGATTAAAAGTGTTCCTGTCAGGGGAAAATGACTACTTTTTCAGGATGACATATCAAACTCTCTTTAGGACTTTCCTCGGCCCCTTCCATCAACTCGCTGGCCGGTGAAAGTAACTGGAAGTAGGAGGCGAATGCGAGGGTGCACTGATAGGCAGGGGCGGCAAATGGTCTGTGACCAATGGCGGGGGGCACAGAGGCGAAACGGAAAGACGATGGAGACAAACCTCTCCCGGCCAACAACGCGCCCGCGGGCGTTCGCCCTGCCCCCCGCTCCCTCGAGCCCCCGCCTCGCCTCGCCCCGCTCCGCCGCGCCGCGCCGCGCCCCGCCCTCCAGTCTCGCTCCAAAATGACACTTCGAAGATTTAAACAGCGTATGCGGAGTCAAAAAATAAACGGTTTTAATATATATTATAGACTACAATAAACATTTATTCGAATCCATTTATTATTGAATCTTGTAAGCAACTTCTGACAGTGAGAAGCGAAAATGAAGATGCGACATCGCAATTTCATAGTAATTCGAGATGCTTCCATACGAATAATAAAATTCTGGCACATTACAAAGTTAAGGATTTTTAAAACGAATTATGGCTTAACACGTACAATATAACATCATAACAAGAATGTTCGTATTTCACGCTGTAACGTGCAAGCACATTAACGAGTAAATGGCCGGGTGCCCAACGTCGCCTGCACTTACTGCATCCCGCCGTACATCACTGAACTGCGTGTTGCGTCCGCGGACTCCCCAGGGGGACTGTCTCGAGAGGAGCAAAACTAAGTGGTGACGCAGGGGATCGTTAACGCGCTTCTCGCATGTCCCACCAAGAAGAGGGGAGGGGCAGGGGGAGGCGGCGAAGCGCACCACACGAGGCTTGGCGAGCCGCAAGGTTCAAGTGCGCATCTCAGCAACCGGAATTGAATCCGACGATATTATTTTCATACGTTCAACGGTTGCCCTGCCGGCACACAGTATTTTGCAGTACATGCAACTTCTCACAAGCTTACATAATTCAAAACTATCACCAATTTTGATAAAGTTCAATCATTATTTAATCATGGAACAATAGCTTGGGTGAAACGAACATTTGCATTGAAAGTACTCTATGTACGAGGATGTACTACATTGTATCATGGATCGAATTCACGAGTCGTGGTCAACAGATAAAACTGCGCGAAAAAATAAAGTACAAACACATATAAATGAACTGAAGTCGCTTCTCAAACAAACCAATCCTTTATCAGTTTCCATAAGTCAACATGCCGTGACTTCGTGATACCAGTGTAGTCATTACAGAATGTCGAAAGATTTGCCGGACTAAGCAAGTAATAAATAGAATGAATCATTAACCTCGATAAACAACATCGTCATATCTGTTAGATCACTTCTCAATTCAAACGATTAATTACATATTTCGAGCGAGTCATCGTTATGCTGCAAAATATGCGAGAGAAGTTTGCTTCCATTCTTCCGCCAAATATTGATTTTTCTGTTCGAAAGTGGTAAATAAAAATATGCCGGAAATCGAACGAAAATTTGATGTAAATGGGAAAAAGGCGTTTGAATGTTTCAAATATCACTCAAAAACATTAATAAAGGTACCGAGGCCACGAACTGACTGCCAAGTTCTGACGGAAGCAAACACACAAAACTTCGGTGGAAACTTGTTACTAAGAAACAAGGATCTGTTACTTTCAAAGAAGAGCACGACAGCAAAGAAGAGCAGTGTGAGAAGAAACAACAACAAATTAATTAGTATTACTCCCCGTCTATACGCTGAATAGAAAAGAATGGCAATAAATTCTTGTCAAGAAAACGCGATAGTGATTGTAATGGACAAATACGTAGAAGTGTCATAGTGAAGTTCTGAAAAGAAATATACTAATAAACAAAATAAATTAAGTTCCTGTAATCAAAGTAATACGTCATTATTCTAAAAGTGAGATAGTGCATTATTTTCATGAATCAGAGGTTAGTCCGTCCTCGTCAAACGGATATAGGATAAATCCCATTCTATTGTGTTATTGTGTCTTCGAAGAATCACACATAATTTTTTAATCTTTCTTGTTCCCTTAACAAGACTTGGCATCATATGGTGAAGGGTATGACTCATCTTTCTGAAACTTGAAACAAACACCACTCAGTACATCGGTGCCTTGGCTGGCCGACACTGAAACGGATATTACTAACGCGAAGGAAGAAAAATCAAAGGATAAAGAGGTAGATCTTATCATCTACTGCAAAAGCAAAATACATTTTTACGTGAACTGAATACGAGAAAAATCAATCTTCGTACGCAAATTATTTTGTAGCAGAGAAATCCGTAAAGATTTCTGCTGGCAGCAAGATCGACTGCCTTGGAAACGCGAACGCTCATACTTCTCCGTTTTTCCTCGTCCAAACGCCTCCTGCGCGGATTATGACCTGCAGCTACGACCGTGCGTCGCATCCAGCAACACGAGCGGAGTAACACGCCCCCCCCCATCTACCCCGCCCAGGGAATATCGCGAATGGGAAGAGGGGAAATCTACCATCCGCCCACCTCGCCTTCGCAGCCATCGGCTGGACAATGCCCGCGCGACCTACGCACGGCCAACGGGGCCAGAGGGACTGGGGGCCGGGGCAGGGGGGGGCCAAAGGGCGAGAGAGCGCGGACGAGCGCGGGCGAGCACCGCGCCACGCGCGTGCCGCAACGGGGCTCCATTGACCCGCGTGTCCGAAGCGCCGTGCCGCGCCGGCCGCGCCGCACCGCCCGCCGCTGCGCCACGCCGCGCCGCGCCGCGCCACGCGCAAGAGTCCGTAGTAGTAAGCATAGTAGCCAGGCGCAGAATCAATACCGCTGGCGCGCGCCGCGTACCCTGCCTGCCTGTCGCCAACCAAACAGTGGGTCCGCGAAGCGCCCACCAGGCCTACCGCTCCCGCGCGCCGCGGCCCTGCTTCGCGGCTCAGCGCACGGGCGCCGGCGAGGGGTAGGCAGAGCGGACGGGGACAGAAAGTAAACAGTAAGATGGATGAAACGAGGCAACGTGTTTCGGCGACGGCCTGCCATATCAGAAGGCGCACAGAAGCACACTCAGGAAACGGAACGAGAGAAGCGGACGGGATGAAGCACAGACGAGACGAATTGCCATAGTCTATTTCGCATCCACCTGTTTTAAGCCAAGAGACGACGTCCTAATAACTCCGCACTTCTCTGGAAATTTTCAGGGGGTGAAAATATGCGATAAATCTTGCAGTCGTCAGCATTGAGCGAGCGAGGCCCTTTTATAAGCCGTAAACGCCCCACGCAGAACGGCTGGCTTTACGTCCCCTGCCAAGGAAGCTTTTATCGTGTGGAAAATCCTCCTTCCTCGAAAAGCAGCGCCCTCACATCTGCGCAGCGAGCAGGAGGCACCCTCCGCGGAGCTCTGAACGGGCTTGGCGGTCGCGCGGGCGCTCTTCCGCTGACAAGTTCCTGACAACATGAAAGTTGAAGAAGGGAACACGTCGATAGGTAGCAAAAAGGACAATTAAATAAATGCAATAATGCAAGACTAATTAATAAGAGGGGAAAAGAACTGACTAGCGGGCGAGGGTGAGTAGTCGAGTGGGGCACGCCCGCGAGCTGATTGGCCATTAAATGCGAGGACCTGTGCCCCCCGCTTACGAAAAAAAAAGCGTGTGCGTTAACCTACATCATCTAGATAGCAAAAAAGGAATTGCGGTTAACGAAAAATATATTTAAACGAAAGAATGAACACGAAATATAAGGAAAAAATAAAACAGCAATTTACCGATTCGGGAAAAGTCGTTTATTGATAATGGTAGCATTTGGATTTAGATGTTTAATAAATGCAAATGACATTGCGAACTGTTTCTAACGTTCTTCAGAAAACGAAAACCTAGGGATACGAGGCATGTCATGTCTATGGTTGCTTAAGCCCTTCGATGCGTTTCGAATAGTTTAGTCTACCTGTTTAACGCACGAGGAAATGCTTATGGTCGCGACACATGTGAATGATGGAAGTTGGACCGAGAGAGAGGGAAAACGAAGAACACGTGAAAACCTGTCACGGACCTCTTCCAAAGCAAATTTCACATGACTCGAACTGCATTTGAGCAGCAGACCTAGTAGTGAACCGTCACCAGTCGGAGCACGATGTTACGAGTTGCCAATAGTATATCCTGAACACATCAAGAGTTGTGTTACTACGATATCCTCTAGTACAATCTCTCAAAACCGTTTTCAATAGATTTTAATCGTGAATGTACACAGGCTGCCTAATGGAGAAATGGTGGGATGAGAATCCGCAAAACGAGAAAGTCTCCAGAAGACCCGCCGAGCGCTCGTTTGCGCACAAACTCCACGCGTTTCAAACGGGAATCGAACCCCGGTCGCAGATATGAAAGTTGAACAGTCTGAACGCCACTCCACGGATCGCCCCATGTACAGTACACCTCATTAGCATGAACTCGTAACATGGCGAAGTCGCGTCCATGGCGAAGGTCGCAGAATGGCGACCGAAACGTCGGCACCTTCGCCATGGACGCGGCGTCACCCGGACAGCCTAGTAAATACTGACTTCGGCCGCGGAAGCCTACGCTCTCAGCCGCTCGCCGGTCCCGACACGACGGAATTCCGCCCGCAACCGACCAGGACGTTAGGCCACGAGTTCCGCCCAGTGGTTTACGATTTCCTCAAACCAAACTCTCGTTTACACAGAGATGGTAAACGATCTTATGAGTGAGAAGTAAGATGAGGTGTTGAATACACAAAGTCACAAAGTCGAGGTGATTGGAGCAATGTGAAATGAGTTTGTGTGGGGGGGAGGGGGAGGAAAGCCCCCAAGAAACCTACACTTTTCCCCGCGAGAAAACCAACAGGATCAATCCGAATGTGCCGGCACTCGAGGAGGCGAGCAGACGGAGCAGCCAACAGTAGGCGGCGGCCCGCGCCCGCAGCACCTGTCAGCTTCCGCCTGCGCCGCCGCCGCCGCCACCTCCGCGGTCAATGATCCAGCCGCCCGCCCGCCCGCCCGCCGTCGGTATTTGCGCACTGGCTGCCTCGACCCCCGCCGCCGCCCCGCCGAACGCGAGCAAGGTGACCCACAGTCTTTCGCCGAGAGGCTCATTGGCGAAAGAGGAAAGCAGCGATCCACCGCAGATTCGGATTACCCATAAACCGCACAACGACGCTTGTGGTTTAAGGCGAATTTCCCTTTACAAGAAGTAAAAAAGAAAAAACCTTTTCACTTTTGAACTGATTGATGAAGGATCGTCTTTCAAAATGTGAACTTCGCCCTCGTAAAATCAATCAACGGATTCTGATGTTGAAAGAAGCTTGAAATTATCTAATTTATGCGTGGTTACAAACAATATATCGAATATGCCGAAGAAGGTAAACAATTCAAAGATTAAACGTTGTTTGATTTATTCACGAGAATGCAAAGAGCTAAAAGAATAGGAATGTCTTTTGGGTTATGTGTGAATGTACAAAGCCTAAACGATGTCAGGGTTTCGTGTGTCTGTTGTTGATCTCAGAGTCATTAAAAATGTGACTTGCACGGTAATTTGTACTCGAATATTCCGTACTACGGTTCTAAATAATTTAAAGACTTTTGGATTAATAGAGCAATCGTATTCTTCTAATTTACATAAACAAATAACTTGTTAACTTCAACATTTGAAATCAAATTCAGTGAGAACCAGCTTCACGAATCCATAAACTTCTAGGATCTTCTGAAATCTACTTGCAGTGTTGACTTATTTTTTGTGTTTTGTTATATAATATATAATCTAAAGAACTAATAGGTACAATATTGTGAAACAATACGTGTATATTGTGCGTTCCTAAACAAACTTTTTTTGGACTACAGCAAAAGTATAATAAAGTTCATTAAAAATAGTAAAGGCACATAAAAAAACTAAGCCTAATGTATATACCGAAAGAAAATGTAATCTGCAAGTACGTTTTGACTAGATAGACAACTGAATAGTAATAAAAAAGGGTTATTTAAGACATTTAATGTATACCATGAGGCTTTTTCGATCATAATACAAACTTTCCACAACTTGAGGTTGAAACTAAGCCGTCACAACCGTATACAACTTTCGCGTATGAGGTTATTCCTGCTGGCGAAAACGTCAAACCTCATTATATACGCAAGAGAAAGTAGAAGCAATTAGCGATTTAGTTTCACTACGCTGAATTGTGTTGCGTTCATTCATAAATCGTAAAAGAAGTACGTCCCTCAACACAGCGACTCTCTAAGCGACCTTCAATCCGGATTCATCCCAGACACATTAGCGGAACCCCGCAGAGTCACAAGAACCTCAACAATTTAGTAGCTCCGTACAACTTAACAAATGTCTGGTCTCGTAATGATCCCTTCATTCCCTTCCCCCTGAAGGAAAGTAGCATTTCTCTTTTCGAAACGTCACAGACATTTTTACTTTGCCTCCCTATACTTTAGTTCAGAGAGAAAAGTATAGGATTCACTTCAACAATTCGATCTCAAATTTTCGGTTGCGAAATATGTGTTTAAGTTCTTTGGAGCTGTACTCTACGCACGATAAGATTAAGGTCAATTAGTGTTGTACCGAAGGTGGTTAAGATTGGTTGAAATACAGAGGGAATACATGCAATTTTGTACCTGAAAATCGGGAAGTTTATATCAATAGATGGACGCGTCACGCACAACGAACGCTGTTATTAGTAGCTTCTGAGCTGAAATTTGGTCAATCCATCAGTATAGAGTAGATCAGAGTTTCATTAAATCCTCCGACATACGGAAAATTGGGTTAATCTTTATATTTGAAAAACTAAGGATTTTTAGAAATAAAGTTTCAGTTTTCCCCTCAACAAAATTTTGTAATTTTTGCTTAAAATGGAAGGTAGTTGGGCTCGGATGTTTTATCTATTGCACTTATTAACCAGTTTTACAGCATATACACTAAATGATAGTGAAAATAATTAGTACTCTCTTGTAAATAAAATTGTATTTTAGACCTCTTTTTGGTATGTACTCCTTTAGTCTGCCATAATTTTGGACGCACTGAGCCCGAACTTAAACATTTTATCTGTTATTCAAAGGACCTAAATATAAAATTACACCTTACTTTGGTTGCTCATGATCACTAAAAGTACTTTTTCTCTCACCCAAGCTTCACCCGTTTCTGAGAATTAAAATTAAACCCGAAATGTAAAGCGGGCCGGCCTTCGCAGGGAAGGGATTCGCTGGGGCCGGGGTGTTTGTGTCCCGACGGGGAAGGGGCGGAGCGGGGCAGGAGGGGAGGGGGCCCGCTCTGGCGCGAGGCCGCATGCGAGGGGGATGACAGGGCTGGAAGGGCCGCGCTGCCGACATCCAGAAATCAATCTCGCGCCTCCGCCTCCGCCCTCGCCCTCGCCCTCGCCTTCGAGTGGCAGCGGAGCTTGGGACGAATGCTTCCCGAACCCGCGAAAACGACAAAGGAGTCATGTTTGCAGACGTGCACGACAAAAGGGAGTTGAGCGCCAAGATGGATGAGCCTAGTGAAGGGAAGGGCTGAGAAAAGAAAGGAGGCAGGGACGATCGGAACCGAATAAGTGGAATAAACGCGGGCGAAAAAGAAATACAAGACAAGAAAGGGAGGTAGATGAAAAAAAGGTGCGGGAAAAGGAAGACGGTAAAACGACATAAGAGAAAAAACCGTAACATTTGGAATCAGGCAGATGACGCGTTAAGG